GGGGGGGGGGGGGGGGGGGGGGACGACCAGGAACAGCTGCCGAAAAAAAAAACAGGGAGCAAAGCATAGCGTGGCTGGCAGAGCCCCGAGAGGATGTGGGCACCATCCGAGGGGAGGAAAAGAGGAAGGGGGGGTTCTGCAAACTTTGAGGGGCTCCTTCGCCGCTTGTCTGACATGGATGGGTGCCGAGACTGCAGTGATGGGGTGGGAGGTCTACCTGGTATTGGGGGCAGGCGGAGGGGGGGGGGGGGGGGAAGGGGGGGGGCTTCCCCAGTCCCTCCTTCAGAAGGAGGGAGGAACTGGTGAACTTACTGGGCTGGCAGGCAGGGAGGGAGATGGGTGCCCTGTTGGTAATTTGAAGGATGACTTTCGTAAGGTCTTTGGCATTCCGAAGGGTTTGCTCAAATCCCTTTTCAGGTTTCCGCTGTTTTTCCGTGGTGGGTTTTTATTTTATTTATTATTATTATTATTTTCCCCTCGGTGTTTGTGATTGTCCAGGGAGCCTGTTTGTGGCAATGTCTCCCTGGGTTTAAGGATGCTGCTCTGGTGCAGTGTTTTGGCTTGCCTTTCTGGTTTTTAGCCAAAGTATCTGGGAATGTGTCTGTCTTTGCTTCGTTCCTTCCTTTTCCCCTTCCTCCTTTCTTTCCTTCCTTCCCTCCCTCCTTCCTCCCTTCCTCCTTTCCTTCCCTCCCATCCTCCCTCCTTCATCCTTTCCCCCTTTCTTCCCTCCCTCCCTCCCTGCCTCTATTCTCTTTCTCTCCTTCCTCCCTCCCTCCCTTTGCCTCTCCCTCTCTCCTTCCCTTGTTTCCCCTTCCTCCCTCCCTTTCTTCCTTCTTCTATTCTCCTTCCTCCCTCTGCCTCTGCCTCTTCCTCTCTCCTCCCTCTTTTCCCTTTTCTCCCTCCCCTCTTTCCTTCCTTCCTCTATTCTCTTCCTTCCTCCCTTTGCCTCTCCCTCCCTCCCTTTCTCCCTCTATTCTCTCTCCTCCCTCCCTTTTTTCTTCCCCCCTTCCTCCCTTCCTCTCTGCTACCCGCTAGTTTCCTTGTCCTTCTTTTTATCTTCAGCTACATTTACCGAAGTTCCTAAGGATGTGACGGTTAGGGAGGGAGATGATATTGAGATGCCTTGTGCTTTCCGGGCCAGTGGATCTGCCTCTTACTCCTTGGAAATCCAATGGTGGTACCTTAAGGAACCAGCACGAGAGCTCCCACACGAGTTAGCCGTCAGTGGTCCTGGCAGCAGAAGTAAGGTAATGGAAAATAAATAAATACATAAATAAATAAATACATAAACCCGCTTCCCCAATGATGCAATTACATTCTCCTACTATGAATTAATGTGAATTGCTACACCGTCTGTAGGGTTGAGACAAATGGAGTTGGCTTCAAGCAGCATTTTAGCATCCTAAGGAGAACACTGCATTTTCGGGGTTCTTTCTGTCTCGGGCGCTAATTCAGACACACAGGTGAAGTACAGGACCAACCCAGGAAGACCCTTTTATGCAGTCCTTTTCCACGGGTGCTCAAAATAATTTTGGACCTGTGGTCTACTTCCTGAACGCGGATTAGTCTCTGAAGGGTCCAGGGTGGGTGTATGAGATATCCAAATTTCAGAGCCCATCTCCAGGACATGATGTCACCAACCGAGCCTCTTGTGTGCATCGGGATGCATGTTCAGACGTTGCTGCTTGTTCCGCATGTTATGGTTCCTGACCACCAGCGAACGAACGACATCGCTGCAATGTATCAGGAAACCAGTGGTTTGCACCGTGGCTTTTCCCATTTGTCGAGCTGAGATTCGTGGGTTTCAATTTTCAAAAGAGTTCCGAGAGGCGATGAGCCATAGTCGAAGGCTTCAACCTTTGGATGCTTCGCATAGCATCTACTGGAAAGTTTGCCACTCAGATAAAAAACCACGCCAGGCGGGGGAGGGCATTCACCATTTTTCCTGGCCTTCTGAATCCCCTCCAGGATAGCAGAGTTTGACCCAGTCAGGCCCACAGTTTAGACTTCTTTGGTGCTGACGTAAACATGTCAGCTTCTAGAGATCAGATGGGAGAGCTGAGATGGATGCTGTGACTGATCAACTAATATTATTTCAGTTATAGTTCTGGTTAGGGTGGAGGCAATCCAGTCCTCTCATATGCAGACACCACATACAGTGAAATGCAAGCAATCTCTCTCTCTCTCTCTCTCTCTCTCTCTCTCTCTCTTTCTCTCTCGGTGAATGAGAGCAAGGTTGCTTTAGTGGTTCAGGCACCAGGCTTAAAACCAGGAGACTGTGAATTCTAGTCCCGCCTTAGGCATGGAAGCCTATCCCTTGGATAATTTGGGGCCCCGTCACATTTTCTCCACCCAACCCCCCCTCACAAGATTGTTGTAGACAAAATAGGAAAAGGGGGGGAATATGAGATGCTATTATATTCGCTGCCTTGAAGGTGGGATGTAAAAATAAAGAATAAAATAAAATAAAATAAAATTATAGAATTTGGGGGGGGTGTCCCCTCAGATTATTACTAAACTATACTGGGAAAGAATAGATAAGAAAAAAAATGAATTTCATGCATCACAGCTTAAATGCTGATTTCTGTCCATTCTCAAAGCTCTTCAGGATGAGAACAGGATCTCACTCAGGGTACAGTTCTGGAAATTCTTGTTATTGCTTCCACTGGCACATTTTTTAGGATTATCGTAGACCTTTACTAAGAGAAAATTTAGAGAAATGCTTTGGTGACATTTTGGTTGGTCCTAACGCCTTCCTTATAGATTTTCTTGTCTTTCATCTAACCTAGACATAGGTTAGATGAGTTGGGTAGGTAGGTAGGTAGATTGGATGGATAGATGGATGGATGGATGGATGGATGGATAATAAATGAATAGAAGGATGGATAACAGATGGATAGATAGACACATGGATAGATAGATGCATGGATGATGAATGGATAGATGGATGGATGATAAATGGATAGAAGGATAGATAGACAGTTGGATAGATAGATGGATGGATGGATACATGGATGGACAGATGGATAGATAGATGGATGGATACATGGATGGACAGATGGATAGATAGATG